ATTTTAGGTAAAAGCTGGCGAAGTGACCTACGATTTCCCGCTTGATACGGAAAAACGAAGAGCTCTATGGAAAGAAGAGGACAGAAAATATGCCTATGTTTTCATGGTAACTTTGTTTGTTCTTCGTTTATTATTTTACAAAATCAAGAAGTACGAAATTTTGAATTATTTTACAAATAATACGAAATTTTGTAAATGCTTTTCTTGTTTTTTCATTTTTTTTTTAAATGAATAGTCCCGTGGTTATTTATTTCTGGGTAAACACATTTGCTTCTCATCAAATAAAATATAGCGTAGATTTTGGCCTTTCATTGAAATCCTTTAAATAGGTAGTAACTCTTGCCTTCTCACTTTAGTTGCTTTGACCAGTGCTGCATCGTCTTTTAGTATGGGTCATCAAAAAAATCCTTTCAGAAAAAGGGTTTTGAATTTGAATTTCCAAATTTGTTCGAGAAATGTGAGGAAACGGAGATGTGGCAGAGAGCGAAAGAAAAGCTTCCGGATGCGAACAACGAGGAGTACATCAACCGTGGCCGTGATGGTATTGGCGAATTCCTTCCCTGAGACGATTTTCATGTTGCTGTTCTTGTTTGGTATGTTTCATCAGTTCTAGAGTCCGAAAGTGTACCTTTCTGGCAGGACTACGTTTATTTTTGGTATTGGAGTGGAATGGCTGACAGAATAGCCTGGTCAGCATTTTCAGCTATGTCCGGAGTAGCCGAAACGATGGCTACGGCTATCAGAGTTGGCTGGGCATAAAGTCCCACATCTGGGAATTCTTTTTCTTTTATTTTCTTGTTTTTCTTAGATCTAGAGTTATATGTGCTAACAAATAGACAACGTCTCCTACCAATATGCGTTTTTTCATTTGCACAAATATGCAAAAAAAAACCACGCGGAATAGCGGATCATCATGTCACGTCACATCACGTTAGACTATGCCAAATCATTTCCGCAGGACTTTTTGTGATTTTCGTACTGACGAGGTCCTGTTGCGTTTTTCAGTTCAGACATATACAACTTAATGGACCGAAACGTCTTATCTCGCTCTTACCTTCTTTTATCGTACTGTTCTTTCATGCTCCAGGAAACTTTTTTTCTGAACGAGAAATT